TATATATATATATATATATATATATATTTAGGCACACATATTTATAAGTATAGAGAGGTAAAACTTTGGTTTAGAAAAGAAGGTTAGAAAAAACAAAAAAAAATTAACGGGCCTCAAGCCCGACCCGAGACCCGACTGATCCGGCCCGACCGGCCCGTAGCCTATTTGGTCCGAGGCCCGAAAGCCCGAAGTTTAATGAGCCTACATTTTTTAGACCCATGTCCTTATAATTTTCGGACGGGCTCGGGCCGGGTTTCGGGCTCCGGGCTTAATTGACATCCCTGATTTTATGTGCATGCTTTGAATTTTGATTGTTTTGCTACTATTTTCAGCGTTTGTGAATGTGTTTTTTCCAAACATTTCAGCTTCTAATTTGTATGAATAGTATTATTCCTACTCTATGTTTAATTTATTTCTATATATTTTTATATGAAAAATTAAGACTTGAGTTCATACTTGTGATATGGATTATCTATATCTATAATATATAGTATAATAATCCTTTTCAATTATTATTATTATTATTATTATTATTATCATAATTATTATTAGGGAAAATGACATTTTTCTACACCAATTTTGAAAAATGTGACCTTTTCCTACACGAATTTTTAATTTGACAAAAAACTACACCAAATTATCTAATATGCCAAATTGATACGCGAACTACCTAATTTAACTGCAATTTCTTACGCAATCCGAAAACGGTGTTAAATATCCGTTAACCGATGATGTGGCATGCCACGTGACATCTGACATGGCACTCCACATGGAAATTTTTGTCATATCAGCATGCCACGTCAGATTTAAAAAAATTATAAAAAAAGAATATTTAAAAAAAATCCAAAAAAATACAAAAATAAAAATAAAAATAAAAATAAAAATAAAAATAAAAATACACATATATACATATATATATATATATATTCATGTCTATGTACAAATACAAATATAAATATATATACTCCTATATATATATATTTGTATATTTTTTTTAATTTTATATATATATATGGGGATTTATGTTAATATTTGTATTTGTATGTATATATATATATATATATATATATATATTGTTTTGTATGTATGTACGTACGTATATATATACATAATATATATATGTATATTATATATATATATATATGTATATATATACACTTGTATATATGTATATGCATATATATTTTGTATATATATATGTATATTTTTATTTGATATATATATATATAGGATTATTTATGTTTATATTTGTATTTATATGTGGATATGAATATATATATATATATATATATATATATATATATTTTTTTATT